AGATGCCCGTCCCTCCCCCTCCGGCGCCCCCGCCCCCACCGACGTTTGCTCTGGTGAGTAGCTCCTCACCATCCATCACTGGTGCGCAGAGCAGGCCAGATGAAGGCAAGCCTGCCATGCATGTATTTGTTTTCAGTGTATTCGCATTCTGGGTAAGTGCTGTGCGGCAGGTTTTCCCAGTGCAGGGTGAGCCAGACCCTGAGATCCCAAAAGGTTGGTTGTTAAAGGTCCCAGGCAATGCCAAGTACACGTGTGGGATGTGCATTCACTGGGTTTCCTTCCCACACACCAGCCCGAGACGTGTTCACAGGGGTTCTGCCGGGTGTGCGCTGTTTCCATTCAAATGGACTCGACTTCTAGCCTTTAACTTCTGGATAGGACAGTCCAGAAACCCAGGTCTCTGTATGAAATGCATCCGTTAAAGCTTCCTGCAGACTCACTCTTCTCTTTTTCTCTGCCTTTTCCCCTTTATTCCCACCTGTATTTTTAGCAGATATCATCCACCACCCCCTATCCCCGCTTCCCCCATACTCATATCCTGCTTTAAAACTGTCCTTGCATTTAAATGTCCACTTTCCAATGGAATATCTTCACTGGGCTCCTCCTCATCTCTTGATAGACCTGTCCTCAGAAATTAGTGCACCCTCTTACAGGAAACCGGTAGCCCTCCACGTGGTGATACAGAAAGGTTCACAGACACACCCCATCGCCCCATTAACTCCCTCAGCTTGTGAGGCTTCCTCCCCACTAAGGAGCCTCACAGCGATGGGCCCTTCATTTCTCATTTGAGGAAACTGAGGCTCGGGGAGGAAAAGTCTCCTGCTCAGGCTTCCACAGGACACATTTGCAGAGTCCATCTGAAGCTGGAACCTAGTTGGAAGAACAATTAGTTGGCTTGTTGCTACTCAGTGTGGTCCTCTGACTGCTGGTTAGGGGCCCCAAGGAGATAGTTATAGAAATTGAGAGTAAGCATGAAGATACACAGCAATTTGACAATAGTATTGTGTCTGTTGTGTGTCTCTTGTTTTAACTAATTCATGTTTCTACAAATTAATTGTTACAAAAGTTTCAGTCCAAGATGCATTGGGAAAAAAAAAATTTTTTTTAACTGGTCCCTCACTCAGAGAAGTTTGAAAAGTTCTGATCTGGCTAACATAGCAGGCTTGTTTATCTGTATTTCCCCAAAAGAGTGGTTTTATACCACTAGCTGGGTAAGTACGTGGATTTTTTTTTTTATTTTAATGCTCATGTAATGATTTTAATGCATGTTCTAAAAATTATAACTAGCACATCAAACTGAGGGTTTAATAGTGAGTTAATTTAAAAGAAAATATTCACCTGAAAAATAGTATAATAGTATAGTGGACTGACTTAATGAAAAATACTAAATAAATAATACAGGTAGCTGAGAAGATACACAAGTTATACAAGTTGTACCAGAGTGACTGAAATGTATCCTATTAACTCATTTCCATCCATTATTCTGTGACTGAAAGCAAGATCCTAAAGAAATCGGATATAGAGATGAGCAAAGGGAAAGGGGGGTTAGTGGCCATCCTAGGGCACTGTCTAGTGGGACAGTTCAGTTAAGCGTTCTTGACTGCAGAAGTAGCACCCAAGGAGGTTGGGCACCAAGATAAATTCGGAGGCATAACAGGAGGCCGGTGAAAATTGCTGACCCCAAGGTGGTAAGAGAGCCAGTGCTTAACCTCTCTGGGCCTCAGATTGTTTTTTGTTGGTTTTTTTTTCATCCTTAAAATGAAGACAGGGAATTTTAAAAGTTCTTTCTAAGGGGAACCTGGATGGCTCAGTTGGTTAATAAGTGTCCGACTTCAGCTCAGGTCATGATCATGCAGTTTGTGGGTTCGAGCTCCACATCAGGCTCTGTGCTGACAGCTCAAAGCCTGGAGCCTGCTTCAGATTCTGTGTCTCCCTCTGTCTCTCTGTCCCTCCCCTGCTCATGTTCTCTATCTAAAACAAATAAACATTTAAAAAAATGTTTTTAATAAAGAAATAAATAAAAGTTCTTTCCAAGATGTGTTGTTGAGTTGAAAAAAAGTTTCAGAGGAATGGAAGGTGACTCCATTAGCAAAAGTGAACTGTACACATAAAAAGCACATCTGGAAAGGAGCGCTGAGAAGCTGCTGTTAACAGCCTTGCTTCAGGGGTGTGTTGAAGGCAGGTGGGGAAGGGACACTTTGTTATTTTTTTAACTGAGATATATAACTGGCGAGGAATGTTGTGTACGTTTAAGTCATACAAGGGGTTGATTTGCTACAGTTATGTATTGCGGTGTAATTGCAACCTTAGCTTTAGCTGGCCTCTCTTTCACATCACATAATTATCATTCCTTTTTTTCAGGTGAAAACATTTAAGACCTAGTCTCTTAGCAACTTTGAAGCTTATAATACAGTATTGTTAACTGTAATCACTGTGCTGTACAGTAGATCTCCAGGATGTGTTCATCTTGTAGTTTGATTTTGTGCCTTTTAACAGCATCTCCCCAATTTGGGCAAAGGGGCATTTGTTGATCCCACATTTACCCTTCTGCCAAGTTACAGGGAAGGCTGTGGGGTCAGACAGCCAGGGTTTGAATCCTACCTCCTCCCCCTCTGACTAGCTGGGTGACTGGGGCAAATGATTCCACCTCCCTGTGCCTCTATTTCCTTGTCCGTAAAATGGAAATAATGACTCACAGGGTTGATGAGGACCAAATGAATTAATACACATAAAAGTTCTAAAAGCAGTGCCTGGCCCGGGGGAAAAACTATATAAATGATAACTGCTGTTATTATGAGCAAATAATACTCTGTAATTATTTCAAGACCCTTCCAGCTTAACACAGAGATTCCATGTAGCCTGCTTCCGGGTTTTCCTTAGCTTTCCCTCTGCCTCCGACTCTGATACTAAATCGCTGGGTGAGGGTTCCAGCTAAAATGCCCCAGCTTTACCTCTTGTGCCCCTCGCTGGCTCCTCTGGAGTGAGATCCTTCAAGAAGGGCCGGGGCCAACCTAGAAGGTCTCTCAGGTCTGCTGGAAGGACCTTTGGGTTTGGGGAAGCCAAGTGTCCCTGGGGCCAGGCCAGACCAAGCCAGTTTCTACATGTGGCAGACACAGGCACATGCCTACTTCCGAGTCCTGTGTGCTGGGCTTCTCGTGTCCCCACTCCATAAAATAACCCTGAGAAAGTGAGATCTCAATTTCACAGCGAGAATCTTTCCTAAGAATTCTGGAAAAGGGAGAAAATACCTAAACATTTTAAACCACCACCTTTGTCCACCATGCAATCTCTGTGAGCCAAGCTTTCAAAGGGATTGGACATTAGAAACACCTCCAGCAAGGGACTTCTGGGAACTTTTTGGGATTATGGGCATGTTCTATATCTTCATTGTGGTGATGGTTACATGACTGTGTATTGTTGTCAAACTGGTGGAACTCTACACTAAAAGAGTGATTTTACTACATGTAAAATACACCTCAGGTCTGGCTTAAATTAAAAAGAAAAAAAAAGTCTTCGGCAATGTAGAGAGAGGGAATTATTTTCTAAAACTTTGGTGGATTTAAAGAACAAAGAGCTGACCCTCTGTGCTAGAGACCATTTGCCCCTTGCATCAGGTTAGCTCTAAAAGATGTGAAGGAGAAGCTGATCTTCAGGGCACGTTCTGGAGGGTGAAGCCTCGTAGTATCCAGCAGAATCCTCTTAGACTTAAAATTCCCTTCTCGTCTCTTCGCATCCATCCCTGGCTCCGTTGGTTACGGCCAGACTGTGGTCTGAATTTTTAGAGACTTTTATCAGGGACTGACTCTTCCTGCATTAAAAATGAGTGTAATTTATTGCTGCATCTGTTCCCAAATGTCTGGGTCTTAAAAAGAATGACATCGGATCTAAAACTTGTGGAGAATTTACAGCCTATTGCCAAGAACCTCAATAACAAGCTTCCAATACTCTAGCTGTCCCCACCGAGTGTTGTGGTACATGATTTTTAATTCAAGAGATGAATACAAGTGTGCGTGCTCTCCTTTTAGGCCAATACAGAAAAGCCTACCTTGAATAAGTCCGAACAGGCTGGGAGAAATGCCCTTCTGTCTGACATCAGCAAAGGGAAGAAACTGAAGAAGACTGTCACCAATGACAGAAGTGCACCGATATTGGACAGTAAGTGAAAAAAGCTGTTTTCCATGGAGATACATGATTTATGGCCTAACCATCAACCCAACCCTACCCTTCCAGAAAGATTTTTTTTTTTTTTTTTTTTTTTTTTTTTGGTTAACAACAGCTGCAAAGCTAGCAAAATAAGGGACTTGTATCACTCAGTGTAGCCACAGCTCCGGCTTGGGTTCCCTCTAATGCTGCAGGAAGCCAGTATAATAACTCTTTGTCCAAGGCACACACAGCAGCGATTCTCTGAATTATTCACAACACTTTCTGGAAGTTAACCCGTTACTGTTTGCACCACAGATCAAAAGGCAGCGTGCAATATGGAAAGAGCCCTAGAATCAGAGGACATAGGTTTGAGTTCTGGCACATCCTTCCCTTACCATCTCCAAGCCTTACTGTCTTCAGTTGTAAAGTGGAGATAATATGTGTTCTGCGGTCTGGAATGTGTCATTCAAGTGTAAGATGCGATTTTCAGGAGCTGGGAGAGAGAGAGGAAATGAGATCACAACTTTGCTTATCTATCCATCATAAGTCTGAGATACTTTCTAGAACAAAGCAGGGTATGTATAAACAAACAGGGCTCCTGTTAACATTTACAACAGAATGAAAATGTACCCATGACTAGAATCCACTGGTAGTTAATAACCAGGCCTCGAGATTGTCTCCTCATGTTCCTAGACCTCTCCACTGCCAGCTAGATGTCCCCAAAATACATCCTACACACACATCCCGTTTGGACTCCATAGGAAATAGACTGACTTTCCAAAATCACCAGAGGGAGCCTTGTAGACACTGGAAAGTGATACAGGATTTTAGCCAAGTAGAGGATTAGAAGTGTTTAGGAGGAAGTTCTAGGAAAAGCGCCTAATGGGTAGAGAAGAAAGAAGGCAAGAACATGGGTGTGGAGAAAATGGAAAAGAGGAAGGCCAAGACAAGGCTTTTACATGTTGCTCTGTTACCAGGCTCTGTGTCACAGAGGAGAGAACACCAATCTCCAAAAGCCACTATGGGGTATTTTACCCTTGACTTGACACAGTTACCTCTTAGTCAAAATGCCCACAAAACTGATATGGTATTTTATAACCCCTTAGTCCTCTTGATTGGTACCATGAGATTCTCCTTGAGGGGAGCCCGGCACCACTCATCTCTGGGAAGCCTTGGTCCAAAGCTGTGTGAGTCATGGTGCCTGTTTGTGGGGCCAGAGGAGCTCCACAAACTGCCAACCTCTGGGACAGAGTTCAGTTGTTCTCTCCACTCTGGGAAGGGGCCTAGGGCTCGAGAGAGGTAGATGTGAATTCCCCACTGATGTTGAAGAAGACTGCACAGTTTAGTGCCTATTCCTGAATCCACTATTGGAAACTAATTGTGTTCTTCAAGGTCCTCTTCTCCTCCCATTAAATGAAAATAAATATTAGTTCTTCTCCTTTCCAGCTGCTCAATGATGTTTATGAATGCACTTTGCTAGGTGGACACATGATGCAACCCAATGCATGCCCTTGTTGTCCATGCACTTAATGGTCTCCTATATTGTTCCACAGGCTCTTTGCAAGTGGAAAAATCCATCTATAGTTTTTTATTTGTTTCCAACAGAAATTTCCCTGGGTCCTATGTCAAAATGTGGACCATGGTTGTATATAACTCTTTTTTTTTTAAGTTTACTTATTTTTATTTTGAGAGAGAGAGAGCATGCATGCATGAAGCAAGGGAGGGGCAGAGAGAGAGGGAGAGAGAATCCCAAGCAGTCTCCACGCTGTCAGTACAGAGTCCGATGTGGGGCTCAATCTCACGAACCATGAAATCATGATCTGAGCTGAAATCAAGAGCTGGACACTTAACTGACTGAGCCACCCAAGTGCCCCATACATCCTATAACTTAATTCAGCCTTATTCTGCAGTGTGATTACTAATGAAGTAACCTGGAGCCAATTAGTTATTCTCAACTACTTCAGCTTCTCTATCTGGAAGGTGCACAAATGTTTCTGGTTAAGAAGACTGATGTATGATGTCTGATAGTGATCATCAGTGTCTTTGAGTGCCATGTAAAGCCATCCTATGTAAATACAATATTCTAAAATGTATTATTAATTAATGAATAATATTTAAATGATGTTATTATTGGTAATAATTAAAATTAATTAAAATGTGTACTTTTATATGGAAGCAATTTTGCATACACTTCTAGAAATTATTATTGTAATTTTGTTTGTTAGGTGAAGTAATCAGTTCACTATCAGACTATTTCTTCTATCAGCAGAGCTCCCATAGGTAGCCCAGAAAGCTCTACATCTAGAAAATATACAGAACTACACAGACTTATGATCAATCTAATCAAGAAAAAAGGAAAACACAAATGAATAAAGTTTAGGACTCAGAATGTAGATTAGTAAGAGATTCAAGCAGGTTTTCTAAAATTAAGGATGCTATGATGAATTTATATGCTAAAACATGTTAAAATCTTAAAGAAATTAAAATTTACCAAAATTCACTCATGAAGCTTCATTGAGCAAGAGAAAAGTTGAAAACTTTATCAGGCTACTTTCTCTCTCAAAAGGTTTAGAGCCAGACAGTTTTATGAGTAAATTCTTCCAGATTTTAAGAAACAGCTCATTCAAGTGCTATACAAATTATTCCCAAACATAGAAAGAGATGGAGAGCTATCTGATAGACTTAATGAGACTAGCATGATCCTAACCTCAGACTTGACCAAGGCAACACAAACACAAAAAGAAAGCTATGTATCAGTGTCCCAGGGGACATGTGCAATGTTTGGAGGCATTTTTAGTTGTCACAACTTGGTGAATGAGGGGTACCTACTGACATCTAGTGGGTAGAGGCTATGGATGCTGTAAACATTCTATAGAGAACAACACAGCCACCCACCACAAAGAATTATCTGAGGGGTTCCTGGGTGGCTCAGTTGGTTAAGTGTCCAACTCTTGATTTTGTCTTAAGTCAAGCCCTACATCAGGCTCTGTACTGACATCAGAGAGCCTGCTTGGGATTCTCTCTCCCTCTCTCTCTGCCCCTTCTCTGCTCTCTCAAAATAAACAAACATTTAAAAAAAATTATCTGACCTAAAGTGTCAGGGGTTTCAAGGTTAAGAAACCCTATTATAGACTTATGATCATAGATGGGAAGATACTAATTAAAACCAAAAACATCTAATTCAATAGTATATTAAAAGAATAATTCACCGAGACCAGGGTTTATCTAATTTTTAACATTAGAAAGTCTACTAAGCCATCATATCAAATCCATATCAGATCATGAATAGGCATTTGATAAAATTCCATGCCATAAGAAAGTCGTTTTTTGTTTTTGTTTTTAAGTTTATTTATTTGAGGGGTAGGGACAGGGCAGAAAGAGAATCCCAAGCAGGCTCTGTGCTGTCAGCGTGGAGCCCGACACGGGGCTCGAACCGATGAATTGTGAGATCATGACCTGAGCCACCCAGGCACCCCCAAGAAAGTCTTAAAAACCTAAAATAGAGAATCCTTGCTGACTGTGAATACTTAGAAGGGAAAAAAAACCTATTTCAAACCAATAGTTAGTTGAAACATTAAAGGTGTGCTCATTAAAATCAAACTGTGGTTGTCTTTAGTTTAACAGTATTAATAAGTTATATTGCATAGAAGTCCAGTCATCAGAGTTATTACTTAGATAAACTAGAACTAAGATAAGGTACACCGCTATTAGAAAAGAGGAGGCAAAACCTTTATTATTTGCAGACCATATGTCTAAACTACTAAAAAATCCAATAAATGTTTTGTAAATTTTAATTTAGAAAATATAGCAAAATGGTTTCTTAGATGTCAAATGAAATTTTCTGATGCCAGTGATAACCAATTACAAAAGGGGAAACAATTTCAACAAACAAAAATGTATCAAAGGAACCCTAACAAGAAGATATGTGACCCATATCATGAAAATTATATATCTTCACTGAGTAAACCAGAATCCATGGGAGAATCTACCATATTTCCAGATGGTCTAAACATCATACAAGTATCAATTCTCCCCTACTAATTTGTAGATTTCATATACTACTCTAGATAGTTTTCCAGGGATAGAACTTTCAACAATGTTTAACCTCATAAATACAGACATACATACATAAGTATTTTGTCATGAGATCCTTTTTTAAAGAGAGTATAATCATGGCTCTCATACAGATATAAAAAGAACATAAGTCAGGGGCACCTGGGTGGCTCAGTCAGTTAAGTGGCTGACTTAGGCTCAGGTCATAATCTCAGGGTCTGTGAGTTCGAGCCCGGCATCAGGCTCTTTGCTGACAGCTTGGAGCCTGGAACCTGCCTCAGACTCTGTGTCTCCCTCTCTCTCAGCGCCCCTCCCCTACTCACATTCTCTCTCTCAAAAAAAAAATAATAAATAGACATTAAAAAAATTTTTTAAAGAACATAAGTCAGATATTTCATTTAACTCATTAATTAATGAGGGAAGCAGTATAATGTTACCAGTTCAAAGGAGAATTCAAAGTACCACACTCATTAGGCAGATCAGAGAAGAAGTTTACAAATAGGTGCAAAATCCATCAGTAATCAATTTCATGCCACTGGATACAACTAATTTACATTTCTATGGACAATTATTATCAGTTTTCTACAATTTAAAGAGTTGTAAACTAGCTCAAAGACCTGGAAAATAACCCAAAAGCCTTGACAGGATACTTAGTAATCTTTTTCTTTTTCTTTGTTGTTGTTGCTGTTGTTTGTTTGCCCATTTCAGAATCTTCCACAGTTTTAGGGACATAAATGTAAAATAAAACAAAATCTTTGTACCATCTTAAATTGCAGGGATTGTTTTTTTTTTTTTTAATGTTTAAGCCTCCTGTTGGGCTTTATGATATTAAAAATTTGAAATCAACCCACAAGGCCATCAAATAAGTAGATGGTCAAATAAACTACAATATATTCATGTTCTAAAACGCAATGCAGTCCCTTAAACTCATGTTTTCAAAGATAACTTAATGACACGGGAAATGCTAACAAAAAAGTGTTAAGTGAAAAGAGTGGGCTAAAAGCTTTTTAGTGAATCTGGTCCTAATTTTAAGAAAAAAATCCATAAAATAGAAGAGTACTAACAGGAAAGAATACGTCCTAACAAGCGCACTAGTAAGTAGCTAACAAGAAATATACTTAACTTTTTAATTTCTTAACAAGTACTTAGAAATAAGTACTAACAAGAAAAAATACAAAATAACCTCCATTTCCAGGGAGTAAAATTATGAGATATTTTATTTTCTTCTCTCTATTTTTACAGTTTCCTTTCTTCTCACCTCTCATTGTATCTCCCCCCTCCCCCTTTGGACTTTCTTTGAAGATTCTTTTATTTACCAAATCTTAAGATACAGATGTTAACTCTATAGCAGCTCGCCAAGGTGGGGTGTGGGGGTAAGTCATCAGCTATTACTGATTCTCCGGCCCGGGGACCCTGTGACTGCCCTGGAGTGAACAGAAACCCCACCCTTTTCTGACCAGGGGTAGGGTGAGTCCTTAAAATCCTGCATTTTAATGAAATCCCAGTAGGCCCCCACAGGCCCAGTTTGAGCTGGCTCCCAGTTTGGTCCTCATTGTTTATTGTTTACTTGGACTCAGGCTGTGAAGGACTCCAGTGATGTTTTCGTACATGGTGAAGAGACTGTGTTTTCTTCCTTCCGCAGAGCCCAAAGGCGCTGGTGCTGGTGGCAGTGGTGGCTTTGGTGGTGGCGGCGGTGGCGGTGGCGGTGGCGGTGGCAGTTTCGGAGGGGGTGGACCGCCTGGTTTGGGAGGACTGTTCCAGGCTGGGATGCCGAAGCTGAGATCCACAGCCAACAGGGAGAGTGGTAAGGACAGTTTCTTTCTCACTTAGTAACAAGATGAGGCAGAGTTTGGTGGTTGGAAGGCTTGGCAGCCCTTCTCAGGCACTGTGCCCTTTCAAACATTTTAGGTGGCTTGAAATGTTAACACTGTTTTATAAAAAAGACTCTATGTAGCATCTTTTTTTTTTTTTTAAATCAAAATCAGACAGCACCATTGAGCTGTCAAGTATTTGCCCAGTGTCCTTGGGGTAACTTGTACTTTTTTGTACTTTTCTAAAGGGTGAGCTAGAGTGGGAAGAAAAAGAAGGAGCAAATGGAACTTGCCGTCCCTGGAAAGTCTGCCTGGTGACCTGGCAAATTCACCTTTCTTTGTGAGGTAGCCTGACCCAGCTGTCTAGTATAGTAAATACTTGTGGGCCACTTTTCAAACACACTATGGAGCATGTTCTATGCAATATAATTACATATTGCACTAAATCTGAAAAGGTGTTTTGCATGACAGACATCTGGCATTTGAGGGCCAGTGATTCTAAATATTCTCTGCAGGGACACAGGGAAATGAGTCCTATAGGACTGTCTTTGAACCTGACGGCAGAGAGAAAAATTGAAAAATCTGGTCATGACCAAATAAAAAACCCTGCAAAGTGCACGAGGCTTGATACATTTTACCATAAAACTTTCTGTATTAATGTTTATTATGCTGGAAGACTTTTCTTTCTAATTCTGTGATCGTTTAATGTCTGCTGGGAAAGTATGAAATTCTCATAATCATATGAAGATAAAGCCACTGAATCCTCAGGGTTATCTGACTAGTTAGCAGTTGAATGGTCAAAGTCAAAAAAGAGGCTTGATAACATGAGAAATTCTATCTTGCCAGACCTGCATTTACCTTTAAATTTACTTATTTAAAATCCACTTCAAAAAGGAGGCAGCTGACAAATGCAGCAGACATTCAGTACTTTAGCAATAGGTGAAGAAATTAAGGCAAAAGATAACTACAAATAAAATAAGAAAATGAAGGGGTGCCTGGGTGGCTCCGTCGGTTAAGTGTCTGACTTCGGCCCTGGTCATGGTCTCACTGTTCATGAGTTCAAGCCCCACACTGGGCTATCTGTTGTCAGCACAGAGCCCACTTTGGATCCTCTGCCTGCCCCCATCCTCTCTGCCCCTTCCCTGCTCAAGTGCTTTCTCTCTCTCTCTCTCTCAAAAATAATAAATAAAATTTAATAATAAAATGAAGATGGAATTTAAGTTCGTGCGCAAAATGGTATACCAGATGTATACATCATCATAGTATACCATCCACATAAGGAATACTAGCTGTGTGATGTATACATGGCTAATAACTGCAGCTTTAATCTGAACTTGGAATTCCAACAGAATTTATCACAAGCTGGTGACACAGAATTATAGCACACAGTCAAGGGAAATACACCTTTTTTCTAGTACCAAAGTTGAAATTAAAAATTCTGTCTAGAGTTCATGTTACTCCACTGTATAAATCCATCCAAATGTTTCTTACTGTGCCTTAGATAAAACCTGAACTCCTCTGGTTTTCAAAGTTCCTTATGACCTGACCCCTGCTGGCCACTCAGGGTCCATATGCTAGGTTCTCCATGTTCACTGTGCCGCAGGCACATAGGCCTCAGTTTTTTACCTTGAAGCTCATTCCCGCCCCAGGGCCTTTGCACCTGCTGGTCCTCTGCCTAAAGCACCTCTTCCTCACCTTTCTATGACTGACCTCAGCTCAAATGTGACATTGTCTGAAAAGCCATCCCCACTCAGCCACCCCATCTATCCTGGCCTTTCCATCTCATCAACCTATTTTAGTTTCTTTTCAATACTTACAACTATCTGAAAATATTTTTATGTTTGCTGGCTTATTATGTATCTTCCCCCACAAGAATGTAAACCACAGGACAGCAGGATCTTTTCTATTTTGTTTACTCCTCTTTCAGCATGTAGAATAATGGCTGATATACAGCAGGTCCTCAATAAATATTTAGTACCTTAATAAGCTTATGGGTGAGATGGTGGAAGTTTTTAGACTAACCATTTTTTGAGAATTACCTTGGGTTCCAAGAAATTCTGGGGTGGGGGGCGCCTGGGTGGCTTGGTCGGTTAAGCGTCCGACTTCGGCTCAGGTCATGATCTCACGGTCCGTGAGTTCGAGCCCTGCGTCGGGTTCTGTGCTGACAGCTCAGAGCCTGGAGCCTGTTTCGGATTCTGTGTCTCCCTCTCTCTCTGCCCCTCCCCTGTTCATGCTCTGTCTCTCTCTGTCTCAAAAATAAATAAACGTTTAAAAAAAAAAAAAGAAATTCTGGGGTGGTAGTTTGAATTTTTTCCATAACTTTGGCTCCTTTTGTTGAACCGAAGAAGTTTAATATTAATGATATAATAGAGTTGTTCTGACCTGCCACTGCTGAAATGGAAGTTGACTCAGTAAGGAAAAACACTTGTGTAGTTTCCTCCTCCTTTGCAGATCAAGACCAACCCCTGGTGTTGTCTTTCAATTAAACTTTGACAGTTTCTTTTTCTTGTGTTAGTTCTTTATTTCCGTTCTGATTCTTCCATTACATTTTTACACTTTCTCTTGGGAATTTTGTTCAAAGGGACTAGGTAAGCCCACCCATATGGAGATTTATACATTGGGAAAACTGATTTTTCACCCAACATGGCTAAGTTATTTTTTCAAAGCGGAGAGGTGCAGGCACAGGAGGACAGGGGTGGGGACGGAGAGAAAGAAAATCATTAGCAGAAATCCCATGTACCTGCAGCGTCTTCTCATAATGAATAGGGCTATCTCTCCGGAACCCTTCCCAACTTTCTCCTGGTTCTTGTACACACATAATGCCAAGAGAGCTGTCCCAAATCCTTTTGAAAGCTGCCAGGTTGTAGAACCTGGAAGTAGCAGGTACACAGGGACCTGGGATCTGTCTTTCTGACTCCAGGAAGGACCACACAGAATCTGATTTATATAAATGATAGTTACCTGTACTTTATGGCATCTAGGAAAGGACTTCCAGTAGCTGAGAATACACTCTAGTTCTCTGATTTTCTTTAAGGGGAGGTGTCCTAATTTCCTAACTGGATTTTTTTTTTTCCTGTTCTTTAGATTCTGGAGGAAGCCGACTCCCAGTTTTGCCACCGGGAGGAAGATCCACATCTGCCAAACCTTTCTCACCCCCAAGTGGCCCAGGGAGATTTCCTGTGCCTTCCCCAGGCCACAGAAGTGGTCCCCCAGAGCCTCAGAGGAACCGAATGCCTCCCCCAAGGCCCGACGTGGGCGCAAAGCCTGAAAGCATTCCCCCTCCAGTACCTAATACACCAAGACCCATTCAATCAAGTCTGCACAACCGAGGGTCCCCACCAGTGCCTGGGGCCCCCAGGCAGCCCAGCCCTGGGCCAACTCCTCCCCCTTTCCCTGGAAACCGAGGTGCTGCTTTTGGAGGAGGCTCCATACGCCAGACACCCTCAGGCTCCTCCTCACCCTTCTCCAACAGGCCTCCCCTGCCCCCTACCCCCAGCAGGGCCTTGGATGACAAACCCCCTCCTCCGCCTCCTCCAGTGGGCAACAGGCCCTCCGTCCATAGGGAGGCAGTCCCACCCCCTCCCCCTCAGAACAGCAAGCCCCCAGTGCCTTCTACCCCGAGGCCTTCCCCCTCCTCACAGGCCCCACCGCCACCGCCGCCACCAAGCAGACCAGGCCCTCCTCCCCTGCCTCCGGGTTCCAGTGGCAGTGATGAAACCCCAAGACTCCCACAGCGGAATCTGTCCCTTACTTCTTCGTCTGCACCCCCCTTACCTTCACCAGGACGTTCGGGCCCTCTTCCTCCCCCGCCCAATGAGAGACCCCCTCCTCCAGTGAGGGACCCACCAGGCAGATCAGGTAAGGCAACACCTGGGGTGAGTTGTCTTCCTACAGCCCAGCCTGCCCCCATGTCACTAATCCTCATATAAGTGAGTGGAGTCCAACAGAAGCTTAAGTGAACTCTCTGGCCAGCCACTCGGATCTTTTAAGTGACGCTTATCACGTTCGATTTCATCCTGACCTCATGTAAACCTCGGAGGAAGGCAGGGAGGGGGAGCTGCTACTTCTGTCTGCATTTTAGAGATGAGGAGACTGAGTAACTTACAAAGTCAAATGATCACAAGCTAGTTAATTGGAAGAGACCAGAACCTTCACCTTCTGTTCTGAAATATGCTCATGGCTCTGCTACCCTGCCTTTCCTAAAGTGAATTTCAGCTGTCTTAATTGGGCAAATAAATTCCCACCTCCTGCAAGAGGGACCCATTATTCCAACAAGAAGGGCAGTTATTTAAGAGCTAATGACCTTTTCCTGTACTGCTCTCTTCATCGGTCAAACTTTGAGGCCTCCTCCCTGCTCATTAAAGACAAACATTAGAGTCCATTTTGCTGTTTGTTAACATCTCTGGCACATTAATCCCTTGGAGAATCAGATAAAGGTATAGGCCTTTGTTCATAGAAATGCTCATAAGCGTAAACTCACAATCTGCCAGCTGTTTCGTGGATTGAAAGCCCTTCTGAAGCTCATCTGTGCCCACCCCCCACTGCCCTGCCCAGAGCTGAGACAGCTTGATCTAAGGGAAGAACTTTGAGACACTATGAAATGAAATGAAATGAAATAAAATGAAATGAAATGAAATGAGGATTCCCTAGAGCTTGTACTCTCTCCTAATTATAATAGGTGCTTTATATTACACAGTGGCTATTGATGGATTCAGGAGAACCATCTACATTTTAAATTTAACCTTATTATATATACAGGATGCCTGGAAATGGGGCATTTTTTTGTTGTTCTAATTTTTTTTAATGTTTACTTATTTTTGAGAGAGACAGAGTGAGTTGGGGAGGGGCAGAGAGAGAGGGAGACATGGAATCCAAAGCAGGATCCAGGCTTCGGGGCACAGAGCTCGGGCATATGTTTCTTTAGGAGAAGCTAACCTTTTGCCCTGTGACCTCAAAAACCTAATAAACACTCTTTAAACCAGTAGTCCGTGAACATGACCACGTTCTAGAATCACCTGGGCAGCTTTAAAACATGGATGCCTGGGTCCCTTCCCCACGGTTTCTGGTTTCATTGGTCTGGGTTACAGACAGATCATCAAGATATCTGGAGGCTCCCCAGTGACTCTAATGTTCTGCGAAGTCTGAGAACCACTACTTGAAACCACTCTGCCACAGAGAGTAGGCTACAAATCTGAAAAGCTACTAGTAGTCCCTTCAGTCCGATCCCTGCACATCATGGCATCTCATTAAGTATTCTTCAAAGAACAAACGAGAACAGATAGTCCAATGAATGAAATGCAATGTTTTCTTCTTATCTAACCACTACGGGTTTTCCCCCAAGGTGATTGAAGAGCTGGTTGCATGACTCTACCAAATAGACAAATCAACAGATTCATTCTTCCCCTAAATAGGATAGGCTGTGACATATAGCTGTAACATTTATTATTTCTTTCTTTTTTTTTAGTGTTCATTTATTTCTGAGAGAGAGAGAGCATGAGCAGGGGAGGGGCAGAGAGGGAGGAAGACAGAGCATCCCAAGTATGTTCCACACAGTCAACACAGAACCCGAGGCGGGGCTCAAACTCACCAATGTGAGTCATGACCTGAGCCGAAATTGAGAGTTGGATGTTTAACTGACTGAGCCACTCAGGCGCCCCTATTTATTATTTCTTTTGATTACCTAAATCACGTCTGTTTATTATGGAAAATACAGAAAAATATAAAGACAACAAAAATGATCTGTATTCCTTCACTACCACCACCCAGAAATAATCATTCATAACATTTTTTATTATCTTTTCAATCTTTTTATTTTTTTTTAACTTTTTTTTTTAACGTTTATTTTTTGAGAGACAGAGTGTGAACAGAGGAGGGGCAGGGAGAGAGGGTGTCACAGAATCTGAAGCAGGCTCCAGGCTCTGAGCTGTCAGCACAGAGCCCGATGTGGGGCTTAAACTCATGAACCACGAGATCATCACCTGAGTCAAAGTTGGATGCTTAACCAACTCAGCCACCCAGGTGCCCCTTTTCATTCTTTTTAAAATGTATGGTTTATGGGGGTGCCCATCTGGCTCAGTCAGTAGAGCATGCGACTCCTGAACTTGGGGTTCTGAATTCAAGCCCCATGTTGGGCATAGAGCTAACTAAAACAAAAAAGGAAGAAAGAAAAATAAATAAAATGTGTGTGTATATTTATATATATGCATATATATGTTTACAAAATCAGTATCACACTATGCATACTATTTGATAGTTTGTTTTTTATTTAACAATCTCATTAACATTTTCTGATAGGATTAACTATTCTTCTACAGCCTAACTTCTAATGGCTGCATAATAATGGCCTACAAATGTACCTTAATTTATTTAATCATATGGACCATCTCTAGATTTTTGCTGTTGCAGACAATGCAAGGAATACATTCTTGTATCTAAATATTTTTGCACATTTCTATGTGTTTCCTTGGGATTAAATCCTTGAAATGCAATATTTTGGTCAGGTATTCAGGAAAAATTATAGATTTCATAGGTTTTGCCAAATTGAAAATTCTTACCAACTTACATTCCTACAAGGATCCTATGAGAGGTCATCAAGGGCCATCTGTATTTTGAGGGGTGGGTTGGCTTGGTGTGGGCTTTAGAATTTGACACATTTGGAGCCAAATCCAGACTCTTGCAGTCATTAGCCTCCTGACTTGAGCTTTTTAACCTTCCAACATCAGAGGCCTCATCTGCTGTCCCTACACTTCTCAGGGTCGTAAGAGTTAAATGAGACAAGTATGTATCGTGGTTATCTTAATCCCTAGCACGCAGTACCATTCAATGATGGCTTATTATTATTATTTTATTATTAGAAATTGAAATCTGTTTTTTGTTATGCATGCCGAGGGTTAGAGCAGGGGGCCTAGAAGGTTGGAGAGTTAGGAACATGAACATTTACATTAAAAAAAAGAGAGAGAAAGATACCAGGTTGATCAAGTTAATAGCACCAGGCCCCATAATATTGGAAATCTAGTTTGCATATAGTGACAGTTATGTAGCGATAGTACCAGTGAAGTTCACCCACAGCATGTGAGACACTTGCCCCCCAATAAATCATCTCCTCCTGACTGGGACTCCAGCAATTGCAAACAGATGGGGCAATAAATAAACCCTGCTGGGAAAAGCACTGAAGACTCCTTGAGAGGCCAGCCAGGGCTGGGCACGCCTCTCACCCCCATCAGGGGTTTGGGCCAAGACTTCGGGCAGGGATACCTGCAATGGGTGGGTTGTTCGGTTTGGTTTCTGATCAGTTGGTTTCTGATTCTGTAGTTAATAAGAGATATTTACATTTATAGAGCTATAACATGTATTTACATAAAATGCCAGCATCTTGCGAGCAAAGCATGCTGCTGAAGACCAGGAATAATTACTAAGGCCATTTTGATTTGCATCAGAATGCTCAAGTTCTTTTTTTTTTTTTTTTCTCATTTACTCATAACCCAAATAGCCTCTGAATTTGGAAGATGGGACAAGCAAGAGAGGTTTCTTTTGTATTATCCAAAAGAAGAATTTTGTTTTATTTTTAGGAAATTAAAATTTTCTGATTCTACCATACCACTGAATTTTTTTAAATGGTTTCAAATACTTAAAGAGTACTTTTTATTTGATTTTTTGGCTACTTATTCCTGGCAAGAGTGCTGTGAGATGACTGTCAGGTGCTCTTAGGTATATAGTAATTAAGTTCCATGTAGTAACCAGCTTGCTCAGGGTCAGGGCTCTACGCCAGCATGTGTAGCCATGCACAGGGACTAGCTGTTTGTTGCTCCCTGTTAGTCTGCCACCCCAAAGAGGAAGAACCAAGAAGGAACTCCTGCCATTCTCAGGATGATTGGTATTTGGCTTCCTGATGCCACTTGTCTGGAAACAGATTGTATGCATCATGGAAACATGCGTGTGTAATTAGCAATACCAGTGTGCATTTAAAGAATCTAGTCCCTCTAAAGACCTAAAATAACTTCATAACTATCTTATTCTTTTTGTAATTCTTTAAAAAAATTTTTTTTTAAATGTTTTTATTTATTTTTGAGACAGAGAGAGACAGAGCATGAGCAGGGGAGGGGCAGAGAGAGAGAGGGAGACACAGAATCCGAAGCAGGCTCCAGGCTCTGAGCTGTCAGCACAGAGCTTGACGTGGGGCTCGAACTCACAGACTGTGAGATCATGACCTTAGCTGAAGTCGGGCGCTTAACTGACTGAGCCACCCAGGCACCCCAGTAATTCTTTTTTAAATGGCGTTTATTTCATAATTGTCACAGAAACTAGTTCAGTAGCTATTTAAAAGGATTATAAAGTGTTTTTTAAAGTATACAGCTGTCAGTATACATGGACTAATTATCACCTGTTCTCAACCTAACTGTATCAGTACTGTCTCAAAACCAAAACAGCCATTTAACTATCAATATGCACTCTTTATACACAAACATGTGTATGTAAGTTCAGTTCTGTTTATATGTGCTTACTCATTGCTTGACGAAACTCTCTTAGAAAGTCTCCACCATTTCCAATTATAGGGCATGTATCCAGCAGGTGTTCAATAATTGCACATTGATGGTGACATAGTGTTAGTAATGTAGGATGTAAGGTATTGCGCTAAATGTTGTCCTTTTTTTTGTTCCAGGCCCTCTCCCACCACCCCCTCCAATAAGCAGAAATGGCAGCACATCTCGGGCCCTGCCTGCCACCCCCCAGTTGCCGTCCAGGAGTGGAGTAGATAGTGCCAGGAGTGGACCTAGGCCTCCTCTTCCTCCCGACAGGCCTGGTGCTGGGGCACCTCCCCCTCCTCCACCATCAACATCAATTAGAAATGGCTTCCAAGACTCTTCAGGTGAAGGTAAGGTGGGGTCCCAACTCCTTGGAAACATTTTCAGGCTATGGGACAACTGAATGGTAAATTTGTGTTTGTTGTTTGTGTGCTTGCGTTAACATTTCTTGTTTCTGTGAACCTCATTCTTATCACACTGCACTGCTCTGATCTAAGTAACCATTAGAGACCACTATAATTTGAAATTAAAAGTAGTAATCCTCCCTCCTCCACTTTTCAAAAAGGCAGTTCATTTTTCTCTCTTGTTGTTAAAGTCTCATTTTGGTTAACTTTCTAGAATATCCCAGGACTCATTCTGAAAAAAAAATTTTTTTTGTAGTTTACCTTATTACCTACCTTATCTACCTTTCTCAACAGTTGGCTGTAGTCAAGAGGCACCATGGTTTACAGTTCATAAACCAGTTTCCCCTGCCTTTGTTATGAGAGGGCCCCAGTTACTTCTTTGCCCACTGGTGGGAAGAAAGGTATCTCCGACTTTAGCCCCTAGCTCCTGAGAGGGACTGGCTGGGTCCTAATCACTCTAATTAAAGTCACTTGCATTATTTATCTGTCTTTGCTTTGATTTGCTTTGTATTCCATTGACGTGCTAATCAGTGACTTGTAGCATTTTGAGCTTTAAACTTCTAGGCATACAACTAGAAGTGATCTCTGCGGTTCTCTCATTACATAAATCTTTATAGCAGATTGTTACTGAAGATACTGTTCGTTTCTCTCTCTCAGATGAGTGGGAAAGCAGATTCTACTTCCATCCGATTTCTGATTTGCCACCTCCAGAGCCATATGTACCAACGGCCAAAAGTTATCCCAGTAAACTGGCAAGAAATGAAACCCGGAGTGAGTATTTCTGCAAGGACTTTTGGTGGCTTCATATTGGAATAGCCTGGGTTATATACAACTCAGGGTTGTATAGGAAATCCAGGCCTCTTGCCCAGTGTGGGGCAGAGAGCCCCATATGGAGCTGTCTACATTCTGGTAAACTCCCCTTCCACAAGCAATAGGGAAAAATGGAGATATCCAGAATGCATATGAGTAATGATCATTTTAATGTGTCATTACAAGCTCAAAATAACTGGTTTGCTAATAGGTTAAATTTTATTGCTTTGCTTGTTTGGACAGCCTTCCCAATTTCGATTTTCCTAAGATAGCACAAATAGAGGCATCTTCTATTACTACCAGTTTTGAGACTAGCCAAATGTCTTAATAATTATAACAAAAACTCACTGTAACTGCTTTGATATTTTCAATATATTAGGATTAGGAGCACCTGGCAGGCTTAGTCAGTAGAGCATGTGACTCTCTTGATCTCAGGGTCTTGACTTCAAGCCCCATGTTGGGTATAGAGATTACTTAAAAAAATAATAAGGGGATGGGGCACCTGGGTGGCTAAGTCTGTTAAGCATCTGACTCTTGATTTTGGCTTGGGTCATGATCTTGCAGTTTGTGGGTCCAAGCCCCTCATCAGGTTCTGTGCTGACAGTGTACGGAGCCTGCTTGGGATTCTGTGTTTCTCTCTCTCTCTCTCTCTCTCTCTAAATATAAATAAGCTTTAAAAAATTAAAAAATAAATAAATGAAAATATTAAGAGGCACCTGACTGGCTCAGTCAGTGGAGCATGCTCTTGATCTCGGGGTTGTGAGCTCGAGCCCCACCTTGGGTGTAGAGATTACTAAAAAAATAAAATCTTAAAAATATTAAAGTAAAATAAAATAAATATATTATGATTTTAGCTTCTAGAACATTACATGAAAATTTTAAATACACCCATAATCTTTCTACATAATCTTCATAAAATCTCCACATAACATTTATTTTCATTTTACCAGGTCCTCTGCTCATTTTTATCCATATAACTCAAATTGATTTGTAGTTATAATTATAGAGTGCAGTTTTTTGGTGGGATTCACATGATTTTGCTTAGTAAAACACTTGCCCATTCCATCAAGTCAGCATACAGTAATTTAGTTTACCATTATTGGACATTTAGATTGTTTCTGGGTTTTACTAAAATATGTAATGCCACCATGAAGAAGTGAATCTCCTTTCTCCTGTTGAAACAAAAAGGTGAACAAGAAGAAATAGTGAAACTGAAATTTCAACACAATAAGTGGTTAGAACTCAGAAAGAATTAGCATGAAATATACAGATTCAGTGCTGAGGCTCAGACGTGTGACAGTCTTAGATTTAGAACCAAACTCCCAAACCAGAAATGTATGGAGAAAAAGTGAGCATTTTCAGATAAATGCCAAAGCGTCCCTAGCCTTGTCCTCATTCCTTAGATGGAGCTCCTCACACATACGCGGTGCCTGTTGACCCTTTAACACACAGTTTTTTTTTTTTTTAAGTTTATTTATTTTGAGAGAGAGCGCATGCACACACGTGCATGTGCCAGGGAGGGGCAGAGAGAAAGAGAGGGAGAGAGAGAGAACCCTAAGCAGGCTCCATGCAGTCAGCACGGAGCCCCACTTGAGGATCGAGCTCACAAACCATGAGATCGTGAGCTGAGCCGAAATCAAGAGCCAGAGGCTCAACCAACTGAGCCACCCGGTGCCCCAACACACAGTTCTTAAATAATTTTTGGTTGGTTGTTTCCCAGCCACTGAGCAGATTCATAGCTGAAGTCAAGGCTGGTTAAAAGCAAAATCAGTGGCTTCAGGGAGACGTGATAGGTGGGAGTCCCAGGTCCTGAGAGGGACTGGCTGTGTGACAGGGGCACAGAGTTGTACTTTGTATCATAGCACAGGACAATACAGGAGTTTCTGCGGGGTTGTGAAGAATAGGTCAAACTGTGCTCTGTGCCTCTGCTGAAGAATTCAAAGAATTAGAAAATATTTTATTTTATTTTTAATGTTATTTATTTATTTATTTTGAGAGGCAGAGAAAGTGAGAGCAGGGGAGGGACAGAGAGAGAGGTAGAGAGAATCCCAAGTGGGCCCTGTGCTGTCTGTGCTGTCAGTGTGGGGCTCGATCTCACAGACCGTGAGATCATGACCTGAGTCATAAGTCAGACGCTCAACCGACTGAGCCACCCAGGCACACTAGAAAATATTTTTTAAAAATTTCCATGAACAAATGCCAGAAGTAAACAGAATACTGCTGCTTGGAAGGGAAAGTGTAATTACTAGAAAAACTCATTTATGTGGAATACTCTATTCCTAGAAGATAACTAATAAAAAAGGTGTAAGTGTAATACATTTATACAAGAGTGGAAAATAAGCCTTTGTGTGGGACAGGTATCTTTGTTCTGTGTGTGTGTGTGGCGTGAAGAGGGGCTTCTCTCTGATAAGAAAACAGCTTGTTTCACTTCATTTGGGGGGCACTAAGAAATGAATTCACTTTAAGGAGCTGTTCACGTAGACTCTAAATATTTTTCCTGGTTTCGTGTAAGCATTCTTAATCTACTTGAAGTGCTCTTTGTGTATTTAAGTCAGTAACAGAATCAACCCCCTTCCCCTAGGTTTTTAATTTAATAGCTGAACACATTCCCTTCCCTACCCTTCTGTCTTTAAGACTGAACACAGCCTGAGGACTGGAACTGTCCTGCTTATGATTGCATCTTCCTCAAGTGGCACAGAACCTGAAATATAGTAGGCATTTCAGAATGTTTCTTAAATTGAATTAACGTCCACTGCCCCCAAAAATGTTTTTGTAGATTTGCTTTAAATATTCCAGCATTCTGGGTGTTGAATGGATTATCTCTGGATCATTTAACTAAAATACTACCGAGTGGTTTTATTCTGCTCCTATAGCTGCAGTGGCCTCCAGGTAGGGCACCAGCCTGGAGGGCACCCAGGTGGCCCTGAGCTGTGCCACCTAATTGCAGCTTTGCATAAGGCCAGCCCTCATTTTTCTAACCACCTATGGTATGTCAGCTGATGGTCAGGGCTCCATGATAGATGACTGGTTTCCATCTAGATGAGTCTTTGCTTGGGTATGGGCCCAAGAAAAAATGTGGTCGGGACGGCAGAAGGAAGAGGCAAGGTAATGGGGTGCCAGTGTCTTCTTCTAACTCCTCCCCTTGCTCAGAGATTTGGTTCTATCTCAGAAATCCCTGCTGATATGCCTCCTGAAGAATCTGTCAGTGCCAGCCCACCTTGAAGTCTCTCCAGAGCGGTGGCCACAGCAGCCTTCCTCAACTGGCATGTGCCCCTGCTACGTCTGCTCATAGCATCAGAGCACCTGGCTGCATGCCTAACACCTGTTAGATCCTAGAAAAAATGTACCTGAGATAAATGAATTTTAAAAATTGTGAATGGATTTTAAACTTGGTACCGAGAGCCCAGAATATGCATAGTTTTTAAAAGAACACTGTCAATGGAGTGAAGAGACAACCCACGAAATGGGATAAAATATTTGCAAATCATATATCTGATAAAACATTAATATCCAGAATATATAAAGAAGTCCTACAATTCAGCAACAACAAAAACCCAATTTTTAAAATGGGTTGAATACTTGCATAGACATTTCTCTGAGGAAAATATCCATATTGCCAAAGAAACACATGAAAAGATGCTCAAAATCACTGATCATTAGGGAAATGCAAATAAAACTACAATGAAATACAACTTCACACCTTTTAGGATAGTTACTATCAAAAAAGTATTGTTGGGGCACCTGGCTGGCTCAGTCAGTTATGCATCCGACTCTTGATTTTGGCTCAGGTCATGATCTCGCAGTTCGTGAGTTTGAGTCTCTCTCCCTTTCTCTCTGCCCTTCCCCTACTCACACACACATGTACTCTCTCTCTCTCTCTCTCTCTCTCTCTCTCTTTCTTTCTCAAAATAAGCTTTTTTTTAAAAAGCATTGTTTAGAAATTAGAAGATACCTAAATGCCCAACAAAAGGGGATTGATTAGATATAGTATACTGTATAATAGAATGTAATGTGTCATTAATAATTATATGTATAAACAGTAACGACTCTTGAAAAAGACTCAGACCAACTACATATGATCCTATTTGGGGAAGAAAAAAGGGAACTGTTTATATAGAGAAAATAAATGGAAAATATTTACATAATGTTATTGGTTATCTCCAGGTGGTACAGGCATTGGTGAGATTTTGTTTTGTTTTTGTTCATCAATATTTTCTGAATCTGTCATAAATACATACTATGTTTATGGCAAGAAGACAAGTACTTTTTAAAATTTTTGGGGGGGCTCCTGGGTGGCTCAGTCAGTTAAGCGTCCAACATTGGCTTAGGTCATGATCTCACAGTTTGTGGATTTGAGCCCCACATAGGACTCTGCACTGACAGCATGGAACCTGCTTAGGATTCTCTCTCCCTCTCTTTCTGCCCCTCCACTGCTCGTGTTTTGTTTTGGTTTTTTTCCCCCTCTCTCTCAATAAATAGGTTGACTTTTTATTTTTTTTAATTTTTTAATGTTGTTTTTTTTTTTGTTTTTTTTTTTTTTTTTTTGAGAGAGAGAGCACAAGCAGAAAAGGGGCAGAGAGAGAGGGAGACAGAGTCTGAAGCAGGTTCCAGGCTCTGAGCTGTCAGCACAGAGCCCAGCATGGAGACTCGGTCCATGAACCACAAGATCATGATCTGAGCTGAAGTCTGATGCTTAACCAACTTAACCCTTGGGCACCCTAAATAAGGAAACTTTAAAAAACTGTTTACAATTTTTTTCCCTTGATTTCACAAGTACTCAGTAGCCAGTGGTGGGTCACCCATCTCTAGTAATGTTCATTCAGATCCTCACTTGCTTCTTCCCCTCACTTGTTACCTTCTCATTCACGCCACCCAGTTATTTACAGCCTTGGTCATAGAATTTGAGTAGTGGTACTTTACCAACCATCAGTTTATGTTGAGGATCTGGCTCTTAAAATTTATTTGTCTATGTTTTCATCAAGGTGGATCCAACCGAAGAAAGGGCCCCTCTCACTCCCTCTCCCATCCAGTGATCTTCACCTGCTCTTCTCCATCTGAGCCCAAGAGCTACTTCTGTTGTTACTATCCAAGGAACACAAACCCCTCCTCCCTTAATATATGGCCCCTTCATACTGGCAATAGGGAGGAAGGTAGGGTAACATGGGAATGTGTGTGTGGGGGTGGGGGGGGTGGGGGGGTGGGAATGCAGGAAAGAAATGCACCTGGCTTTTTATGTTGTGTATATTCTCAAAGCTATTGCTTGCTTCAGCTACAGCCCACCAGCGTTGGTTGCTTAGGGGTCAGTAGGCTTTTGTGGCAAGGTGGCAGAGATGAATTGTGTCCTAGCTCTCAACCAACCAAATTCAAACATTCACTGCTTATTTGCTACAGACTGTAATATTAAAGTCCCTGAGAGCTATTTGCTTCCATGCCCTTTTTGCATGCTTGGCTTTCTGTCCGATTTGCATGCACCACAGACCATGGAAGCAAGTTGCTGCATCAGGGCTCATGTAACATTTTTCAGTTACAGGATGTCCAATCTTTGGCAGTCTGAGATAAGCTCTAGGATAGAGCTTTCCAACGGAAATACAATGTGAGCCACCTAAGCAGTTTTTTAATTTCTAGTAGCTACATTAAAAAAGGACAAGGGGAAATTAATTTTAATATATTTTATTTAACCCGAGTACCCAAAATATTATTTCAACCTGCAATTAGTATAACAACTATTAAGGAGATATTTCACATTGTGTTTTGGTACTAAGTCTTCAAAATGCAGGTATATTTTACATTGAGAGTACATCTCCTTTCCGACTAGTCACATCCCAAGTGCTCAGCCACATGTGGCTGGCGGCTACCGTATTGGACAGCACAGGCCCAGAAGACAGAGGATGGTACAAAAACCTCTTATTTCAAAAACAGACAAACAAAGAAAATGCAAGATGAGCTTTAGCCATTCAAAAAGTAACTAAAAATGAGGTTAAGACCTAACACCTTGTTTGGCAGACAGCTTGATCTTAGATTTTGCTCCCTTATTCCCCCTCTTGCCTTAACATCTGTTGCTTCACAATACCAAGGTCAGAAATTGATCTCACAGGGTGTACAGTCACGTGGAATAAAGCCATGGGAAAGAAACCGAAAGCCAGCTGGGGCTTTGGGGCTCAGAGCCAGCTGCCTTGAGCTCACCTATCAGTTGGATTCCTGCCTTGCACTTCATTTCCTCCCCTGTCTAGCTTGCACATCAGGGCAGGGAGGCTCGTAGGCTCCACAGTTGTGCGAGAAAGTTAGGAAAAGGTGGCAAATTGGAAATGTGGAGGAAGGAAGCAGGTTTGGGTTGATGGGCAAAACTCTAATCTAAATCTGATGTTGATGGGGTTGAGAGACATTGCTACTACAAATCGAAGAGAATTTGTCTTGACTCTGCCGGGGGAATCACTTGCCTTGGATCTATACAAATACAGCTCCATGGGAAGGACCATAGGGACGAGCCAGCCTTGCCCTTTTTTGTATGATTTTTGTTTACAAAACTTTACTGGGACTTTTAAATCTAGCTATAGATTTGGGGGGGGGGGGGAGTATTTCCATTTAGATGTTTTATATGGTTGATTATGTTTAAAATTACCATTACTTATTTTTTAAAAGCACGTGGCCACATATATATATATGTATACCTAAACTTTGTATCCTGGTTTCAGTGTATTCATGTATTCCTGGGAGATGCTAACGAGAAATCAATCCAAAGAAAAATTTGAAAGACACATTCCTATTTATAGAATAAATAATTGTTTCATTTATATAAAAGCAAAAGAACTTAGAGTTCTAATAAATGGGATATCTAATAAATTATGAAGTTGCCCATTTGAATATATTGTATTTTTGTAACTTTCCTTGCCAAAGTCTTGGGCTTAGAAGATTAGAGAACTTGGTTTTTCTAACTCTCCTCTACCATTCATCTGTCTGTCATACAGTCATTTGGGGCCCTTTACCCAAAGAGAATTAAGAAATATAAAAGTGTAACAAGCGTGGCAAAGTATTTTCGAAAAAACATTTTTTTTAGGTAATAGCATCATTTTATTTTGGATTCTCTGATCAGATATCAATAGTTGATACAAATCCTTATGATAAAGCCTTATGACCCACTTTAGAAAAGACGGAATCTGGCCTTAATAGCAAATATGGCATAGAAAAGTCTGATCCAAAGGATTTTGGATCTGAATTTTATAAGGGGCAGTAAGAATGGCCAATTTCCTTATATATCCCAACCTCATAGTTCTCTCCTAACATCTGAAACAGAGCCACAGTACAGAGTTGCTCTTCATCCAGGACAGAGAAGTTTTAGCAGGTCTTTTTTTAAGTAAATGTTTCATTAATACACCTACACCCTTTCTTTGAAAGTTGGCAACCTAATTGCAGCCCAAACTGAATAATTTCTATGCTAAAATCTTCAACTATGGCAAATCACAAAAATGAATATTTTCTTCCCTGAAATCAGGGCTCACATTTGTTTTTTTTCCACAATATTTCCAGATAAATGTATTCAAGATGCAATACAGTATTTTAATATTCACATATCATTTTATATTGAAATGTATTACAGTATTAAAATTCAGTGTTCCATATTTATTTCACTATGCATTTTATTTAGTAGAAGCCGAGAGAAATGTTTAATCCAATGGTGCCTTACTTTGTGATTTGAAAGAAATCGACTTTTTATGTCTAAGTAGCAGATTATTTGCATATTTGTAAAAACTGTTAGGCTTTTATATTTTAACTTGTAATACCAATTTTGTTATTTTAGTAGCAGAAATGGGATGATTGTTAAAGTGGCCAAAATTTTTTGGCATGAAATTAATTTTTCCCTGTTTATAGTCAGGGACAGTAAAGGAAAAAAAAATGTTTTTCATACCACTGCATTATGTAAACATGCACATTTTGGTATCGATGTCATTAGGACAGTTTAAATGGCGGGGTAGAGTCTACCCTAGACATCTGCATCTTTGTAAGTTAGCCAGACAATAAATAAAAGCAGAATGACAAGAGTGTCAACTGGTGGTTTTTATTTAAGTATTGTCTATGTAAATACAAATGAAAAAGCAAGCGTCTGTTTTCTGTTTTACACTTTGGTAAAAAAAGACAAACTCAAAGAAAAGAAAAGGAGAAGGTAGTGGTGGAGGTTCATGGTGTGTGTACCTCACATCTACTTTCTAATCCCTTGTTTTTCCTGAGAACCTGCATCATAGCCAAAGTCTGCTGTCTGTTTACTTGAAGCAGATGCTTTAAGACTCTAAGGTACAGATGGATGGTGGGACCAATGGGCCAGGAAACCACAAAGAATAGAACTGACACTGAGAAATACAGGAAAGGCCAGGGGGAATTTAGGGGGCCCGATAATTTTTTTAATTATCTGCTGCGCACATGTGTGTACGTATCTTAATGCAGTATAATGGTTAAGAGATTAGAAGACCTGCGTCCATCTCTTACTTGCAAGTTGCAAACTTTTCTAAGCCTCCACTTCCTTATCTACAAGGTAAGTAACTATCTTACAGGATTAATAAATGTATTAAATGAGATAATACACTCAGTACTTGGCCTGACTTATTCTGGCACTCAGTAACTGGTAGCCAGGTAGCCACTCTTGGTAAAACAACAAATATTTATATAATGATCCCAAATTTACTGGAGCCAAACTGCCCGAAAGGGAATTTCCTAGTGTACCTGTAGAGGAAGAGGCAATAGCAGGCAGACTATCCGTACCAGAAATGCAAAGCAACCTCCAGACAGAGGACACCTCACATGATGTCCCTTCGACCTCACAGGCCTGAAAAATGAAAATTCATGCTGCTTTGGTCATCAAGGAAATTATTAGATTCCATTTGGAAGTAAGACCTGGAAAGAACCTATATATAGGGCAGCCTCAGAATTTATGATCCACGAGTAGAACACTTTTGAGAGTAGGAGGGAATACTGATAATTGTTGCTTTGGTACAACAGGTACAAATTGGGGCTGCCCTGGAAAACTGGGCATTTGGAGGTCATCTAGTCCCACCCTCTGGTCTTACAGATGAGTATATAAGACCCCAAATCACATACTACTGATGCACAGCAGCCTGGCCTGTCACCTCACCACCACACGCCCCCTTATTTTTTCTTAAGATTTCATTTTTAAGTAATCTCCACCCCCAACCTGGGGCTCAAACTCACAACCCAGAGATCAAGAGTCACACGTTCCGCCAACTGAGCCAGCCAGGTGCCCCAACGCTCCCTTCATTATGATCCTCCCCACCTCTAGCGCAAGTCTCTGCTTCATGTGTCTTTCACATCTGCTGGAAAGAAAAGACCAAATGACAAGCTACAGGGTCAGAGAACAAGCCCAGCACATGCAAATTTGGATCTGGATCCTAGCTCTGCCACTTGCTCCCTGGAAGGCCAATGACAAGGTATTTAAGCCCTATGAGTTCTAATTTCCTCAACTGCAAAATGTTTACAGTGCTTAAATATACAGAACATCAGGCAAAATAACTGGCATATGTCAGGCGCTCAATGAAAGTTAGTTCCATTCGATTTTCTAATCCCTTTGCTATCAAACTGAGGCCACATTCAGGAAGGCATTTTCAGTGCATTCAGAAGAGTCTGTTAAAGTTTGGGGCGCCTGGGTGGCTCAGTCAGTGGAGGGTCTGACTCTTGGTTTTGGCTCAGGTCATGATCTCATATTTTGTGAAATCGAGCCCCACATGAGGCTCTCTGCTGACAGCTTGGAGCCTGCTTGGGACTCTCTCTCTCCCTCTCTCTCTGCACCCACTCTCTGTCTCAAAATAAACATTTTAAAAAAGAGTCTAATAAAATTTAATTGCAACACTCTTAGGATAAAAATTGCTTTTAAAACTGGCCTCCTTTGTTAAAACTGGAATCATTCATTTGGTTCATTCAGCCATTCGGTACATTTTTATGTACCAGCCTCACCACAACCAAATAGTGTCCCCACTCTATCTGAGGAATGGTCTCGGAGTAGCAGTTACCCTGCTCCCACCAGTCACAAGTGCCAAAGCAACAGAGAGTTTTCTATTGAGAAAGTGAATACTTTATAATTTTCCTCCCTTAAGGGATTATTTGGTTTCTTTTCTCCTTTCATCTCAATGGGTGAATTAAATTTATTATTATTATTATTATTATTATTATTATTATTATTTTACAGAGGGAGAGAGAGCAGGATAGGGGGGACACAGAATCTTAAAGCAGGCTCCACACTCAGCAGGGAGCCTGAAGCAGGGCTCAATCCCACAATCCTGGGATCATGACCTGAGCCAAAACCAAGAGTCAGATGCTCAACCGACTGGGCCACCCAGGTGCCCCAAATTAAATTGATTTAAAAATTCTTTTAAACTACAGGAAAACTGGAGGCGGGGGAGGGAAGGTTTTAGAACAAGTTTTGATGGCCTATAAAAATGTCTTTTTACTTTTTGATTAATTTTTTTGAGAGAGAGAGGGTGCAAGTGAGTGAGGGGCAGAGAGAGGGAGGGAGAGAGGGAATCCCACAAGGGGCAGGGAGAGATGGAGAAGTAGGGCTCACCCGAAGTGGAGCAGGGGCTCACCTGATGTGGGATGCGGGACTCGAACTCACAGACCATGACATCATGACCGGAGCCAAAGTCAGATACTTAACCAACTGAGCCACCCGGGTGCCCTGCTTTTTTTTATTAATTCCTAAAGGATGCCCCAGTTCCCTGACATTCTGATTAACTGAAGGCTTACTGGACACATAATCTAGAGTGGCCCCTTTCTCTGCTGTCTTCCCCACAGCCTGGCTTCCCTGTACTCTGAGCACTTGGTCCTTCATGTCTGTCTCTGGAGCTATAGTTAGCTGCAGGATTCCCCCACTACCCGAAAGCAGAGCGCT